TCAACTTCTCTATTGCAAGTGTAGTTGACATATTTCTTCTGAAACCGAACTGATGAGGGACTGAATAGATTACTATTTTCTAGATATACAAGAAGTTGGTTTTTCAATATTAGATAGTTTGGGACTGGAAGTAAACATTTTTTAAATTAGAATAATTTCAGAAAAGTTTGCGTGGAAATAAATTCTCATTTATTTCATATACTTCAAACAGGCTTATGATAGGATTATAAATAATAGGAATCCTAGAAATAGACAAAGTCATCAGCACAATTGATTCTAAAAGAACAAAAAATCTAGTCACAATTTACGGAGATAAGTAGAATAGAGGAGGAAGACAGATACAGAATTTAATAGCAAATCAAAATGAGAGCATTTGATGTAGAATGTGATGATAGTATGGGCTCTGTTTTCCACTTCACTACTTTGCTACTGCACATCCTACCTTCAGGCCCTGAATGAACCAGTACTGTACATAAAGCACTAAATACAGCTGCGAATATAAGAGAAGGTTAAAATAGTGGGAACATACTGCGAGGACAGATGGATAAAAAGTTGTAAAAAAGATTCTTGCTAGTAGCTTACAGTTAGTAGGAGAGGTACAAACAAACCAAGGAGGAATGGTTACAATATGTAGAGGAGGATCTTAAGAACGCAAACTAAGAAACTGGCGAATAGCTCAAGATGGAAAAAATGAACAGCATTTGCAGAAAGTGTTGAGAATCTGCAAATACTATTATAGTTGTTACGATGTCAACTGGAACCTGTAAATCTTAAAGCACAGGACCGTATGCACTTAAATTTTTTCCTATGCTTTGACCATTATGTGTCTCGTAATTTATACTCGAATAGAAATTCGGCGATTCCTGTATTGGTAAACTAGTCCGCCTGATGTAGAATTGACGGCGGCGCGCTTGTCATCAAAGCAAACCTGTAGCGTGGTCCACTAGGTCGTAAATATTTTTTTTGTATGGTACACGGGTTCACTTAGCTTTGCCGCTTTGCCAGTGCAATGCAGAGCATTGCTTGGCGGAGTATGTTGTTGATATAGGTAATAAGTATTATTATTTATTAGTTGATATTATTATTATTTGTTCATATCGTAACCAGTGAGGGGTTATTAAAGTATATGTTATATGTAATTATCTAGTAATTTAGCGTGGCTCTCTGGAGACTCTTTGAAGCGGAGGATAACGAAATAACTCGGGAAAATCCCCAAATAGTGGAACCGGTTTTTGTCGAAAACATCGAAACAAACTCAGAGTTTAAAAACAAACATTTACACGTACAAAGTCAACGTATTATATTAAATATATGAATGTTTGAAAATTGAAAATAGTGAACAATGTGATAAAAAAATTAGGAAACGGATTAACGAATTAACTAAGATATCAAAAACGACAATTTATCGCGTAATTAAAGAACGATTGATCACGGTACAAAGAGGAAACGGAAAAATACAAAATTAAAGAAAATTGACGATTTTACCAGATGTACTGCGGCGCACAATGTATAATATGTATAAAGAAAATAGAGTTCCTACTTTAAACATGATTCGAGATAAATTAAGCGATTATCCTTGTTATAATTATAAATCTTTAGACATTTTACGGCATGCTCTATTACAATGCGATTTTCAACATAAAAAACTTGACAATCGTATGGTAATTATATGGTAATATAGCTCGGAATATAGTATATCTAGACGAGACAGGGCTAAATTTTTCTGGGCGTCTATGGATTCCGTAGAATTTATGAGTTAAATGTTTTTATACGGTTCCAATTGAGATCGTAATTCGTAACAAATATAACACCATGTATGATGGGAGTCAATAAATGAATGGCATGAACATTCTGTCACATGATGAATTTTGTTATTTTTGACAATTTCTTTCCTAAAAAATAGCGTTCACGTTATGCAATTATATAAAGTAAGCTAAAAATAACTTGCCATTAGAGTTATTATTGAGTATATAAAGTATTAAAAAAGCAAGACCACCGCTGCATTCTACGTATAAGTATCAATATTTTAGAAAAATCCAACAGTAGCAGCTGTAGGCTAACGTGGCTTATACAGGGCATTCTACAAGTTCTATGACAAACTTTGACAGATGGTAGCTGAGTTAATTTCAGACATGTTTTTCTTATATGAACATAGGTCTGATTCGTTTTTTTTTTTATTTTAAAAAATTTAATTTCATATTTTAATCAAATTAGCCTGATAAATAAAAATGATGGTTGCTATAACAATAATTATTATTTGTGTCATTTTGTTTATTCATTTGACACCTGGCGTTAAAGTACTAAATAAAAAATGCATTTATTTACAACTGAACTCCAATGGGAACGCCAGACAAGCAGCCCGAGAATACCGACGAAGATACAGTCTTTAGCGCATCATTTCATAGACTTCGAGCAGAAGGTAACCCCGCTTAAAAAAAAGTCATTCGTCCTACTGAATGTACAAAATGAAGAAGATGTAATAGATGCTGTCATTGACAACTCTTCAATTAGTGTTCGGCGTATAGCAAGTAATCTTTTTTTATCACCGAATTTTGTATGGCGTGTATTGAACAGAGAAATGTTACATCCTCAGCGAGTAGAATTTTGTCGCTGGTTAGTTCAACAACATACTCAAAATGATAGATCTATTTCGCTTGTCTTGTGGTCTGATGAAGCATGTTTTACTAGGGACGGCATAAATAATAATCATAATGAACATATCTGCGCGTTACAAAATCCGCATGCAATTAGATCAAGACGATTTCAGCAACGTTTCAGTGTCAACATTCGGGGTAGCATTTTCAACAATAATTTACAGCAAAACACAAATAATAATGATTGTTACAGCAATCATCATTTTCATTTATCATGACTGAAATATGAAATTATACTTCTTAAAATGCTTGTAACAAAACGAACGAATCGAACATATAAGAAGAAATGTTCCAAATTAACCCAGAGCTATCATCTGTCGAAGTTTGTCATAGAGCTTATAGAACACCCTGTACAATAAATTATACACAATGTCACTTAAAGTATCAAATTTTGGCTATAATTATAACTGAAAAACATATCGAAATTTTTTTTGACCAGAAAGTGGCCACACCCACGAAAACAATAACTATCCTGAACAATATATTGAAATTGGAACGCAGCACATACATTTTTAGGTATGAATTGCAAGGCCTTTTTTACTAAACATGACAAACCAGCACTTTTATTAATAGATAGTGGTAAAAAATCTGATAAAGTACTGATGTAATTAGATTAAGTGAAACATCGAATATTATTGGAATTTTGAGAGGCTCTTTAGATTATAAATAATTTTTATAAATCATTTACCTTACGTTGTGATTGATTATGTGAATTGCTTTTATGTTATGTTATTAAAGTTTACATTATAGTAACAGCGCAAAACTTTATTATCTATAATGATAATTAAATTGAAAACTGATGATATAAATGATATAAATCTGGGATGTCTATCTGTTTTTGAGAAGCCAAACATCAGTGACGTATTTCGTTACAATAAATCTTACAATCTTTCCTAGCAACGAAGCCATTTTGCGTTCTATCCAAAAGATTTCATTAATTAAGCATATTAAATAGTTACTTCAAAATTGCTTCAGCAAGAGGAATAGCAAAAAGTGTTTTTAGTAATTCATATTAAAACTTATCCTCACTAGGCTTAAACATCGGTTTTTAGATTTTTTTTAAATATTTATTCCAGAAATAATGTGATTAATTGATGAGTAAAGAATTATTTTATTTGTTGGTTTTCTTTAATTAGACTCAAATAGAGAAGTATTAATCACGTTATAATGGCTAGATTTTGTTAATAAATAATTTGAAATTAGCTAAAAAAATTGCGACGTCTAGGTACAGTAAAACTCGTTTCTAAGTTAACATGTTCGGTCATAAATCGATTTTCTACTTTTTAAATTGACAGCAGATAGCATCTGATACCTTTACAACGTTTCTCTGTCAACCTAAACTGTTTCTAATTGAATCGATGAATTTGTTAATGAAGCATCAGTTCATCAAAGTTTCATTTTAGTTTTTTTAACGAACTGATAGAGGCAAAATCAACTATTGCCTAAACTAACACAGTCATTACATCTATCATTTATGCCAATAGTAAATAATTTAGTTTATAATAATATTTCTGCTGTTTATTTTACCACTGATAAGTGCAACCTGATGAGTGTAGTCCTAACCTCAATAAACAACGCTGCTTTTGACACAACAGTAAAAACGTCATCAATCCATCTAGGTTCAATGAAAAACTGTTGGATGTTTTGATGCAAACTGGAAAATTTTTTAATTTCCTAGTAAGTACATACATATACAATATGACAGTTAATAATACATAATAATATAATGATCATATTATGTATAGGTAACCTTCACCATCGCAATTTATTAAAAATTCACCTGAACTCTCAAAAATTTCTTTAAAATTCAACGGGGTGCAGCTAACATGATAGGGTAAATTTTAATGGCGATCTTGTATGTCACAAATTAAAGAAAAATGTTTCTATAAATATCTGTCCAGAATATAGTTTATTTACTTTTTTTTTTTCAACAATATCTTGACACTTCCAGTAAACTTTACAAAACGGTGCATCGTATTAAATACCTAGGAAGAAAAATAATTGTAAGTAAAAATTATCAAAAAATCCACCCCCTTCGATGAAAAAAAAGCATATTTATAAGTACGTCTGTGAAATATGTTGTATTTATATATTATTTTTTAATAATTTAAGAAAAATATATTTTTAACTCTATCACCCACATCTTAAGAACAAAGTATTTAAAGAGAAATTTATGTTTGCAGGAAATTTTTTAAATACCACTAACGTTTGCCTAAGCATTTTAGTAATATCCTGTGTTTCCATTCCTGAACTCATTTATAACTCACCTTCTGTTTTTCATTAAGGAGAATATAGTTTAATATTTAAGAAAAGACTGTTACATGCTGATTAGAAATAAGAACTTACCAACAAAAACCGTAAGAAGAGTGTAGCTCAACATCACTATAAATAACAGTAACGATCAACTAAATAATTGCTTCAGCGACTGATACTGCTATCCACTCAGATGCAGATTAAATACAATTTTATAATTAATTCTCATTTAACATGAAAAAAATTACTTCAACATTTTCCCTTAGATATGGTACTTATAAATGAATCGATAATAGTTCAAATAATAATCTTTGTTTTGATAAGATTGTGTTTGTACAATCGTTAACCTCTTATGGGAAATTGTAACTCATAAACCAAGCACAGGGTAACGTTATGGAACACATGCATATATTGAATTCATTTTGTAAGGTAAAGGAAAAATAATGCAGTTTAAATTCTGGTTACGGAAGCCGACGAAAATATAGGTATATACAGGGTGTATCATAAGTAATAGCGCAAACTGAAACAGCTGCAACTACACGATACTAGAAGCAAAAAAGTCTTAGTAAACATTTTTTCACAAACTGCGTCTTCGGTGTCAAAGGATGTCAAAAAAAAAATGTTTTTTTTCAATTTTATGATGATATCTCAGGGACCGTTTGAGATATAGAACTCAAGTTTTGTAGGCGTACTATCATTAACATTAGGTACTTCTGAGCGATAATTCAATTTTTATTCATATGACCACAGATAAAATAGCTATCGCCACAAATCGTTACTGGAATAGGCCAGCAGTTTTAAATTTCCGAATTGCCGGTAGAGTACACCACCAGCACAATTTTAGGAAGAATCAAATGCAGCGGCCCGCATACCTACGCGTATCCTAGTAACATATAAACATTGGTAATGTTGCCAGGCGTACTTACGGATTTCTTTTGTACACTTTTTTTTTATCGATATCTGTTTTTTGCGTTACTGTAGTTAGGTACTTAAATGTATGATGTAGGTATTGATAAAAATGTTTTTAAAGAATCAACGAATATCTATGAAGTTCCATATGATATTCTGCAGCGGTGTTACAATTAAGTTATTTAATCATAATTTCGTTAATTAGCTACTTACTATTTTCATTTTTTGGTATTGAAATACTGTAGAAAATATATTTCCAAATAAAGAAAATTCGTAATGATATTTTAAACAATTTGTAATATAATTTTTTTAATATTTGATGATGACGATAAATTTATTTAATATACAAGGTGGGTTATTAGTCGTCGCGGAATGTAGGTACAGGTTTTTTTTTGTATTTTGACACCCACTTATAGGTTTAATAATTAAAGATAGAAATAAACTTTAAATACAAATGTAGGACTTTTCCTTTATTTCATTTGACATCAAAATTTGCTGGCATAAAATATATATGTTTAAAATAAAAAAAATCATTAAAAAAAATTAAAATTCATCCTTATGAAAATAACAAACAACGCTTTTTATAACTAACCTTTACAACAACATAAGGAGAATAACTAAAAACGAAATAACATTAATATACCTACAATTTTTACAAATCAACATGCAAGTGATTGTGATGATACAGTTGAAAATATGTTTCAATTTNCTGCCACAGTGGTAAACAAAATATGGACATGCTCCGCTTTCGGGAAAAAATAATTGAAGGGCTATTACAATTAGACACCCCCAATGTCACCTACCAAGAAGAAGGTGAAGAAGACGTACAGGTTAATGAAAATGAGAATCACACTAAGAAGAGAAAACGAGAAAAGAGCAGACAGACATTTTTATTACGTCTAAACAAGTTTTCAATAAAAAAAGTTAACTTTGTTCAAAATGCCCTTGTTTTAAGTATTTAATTCCCTCTGATCCCCAAACGATTTTGTATGTGTAATGATATACATTTCAGGTAGCCGTAACTTCATTGTGAAAAGCATTCAAAACAAACGTACATTTTAAAATGCCATTCGGATTATCCCACATCGTGACCCACCGGTGGACACGCACGTCCATTAGTAAAATGCTGTGTGACCCACCGGTGGGTCACGACGCCGCGAACGTGTTAAATACAAATGTACGACTTTTCCTTTATTTCATTTGACATCAAAATTTGCTGGCATAAAATATATATGTTTAAAATAAAAAAAATCATTAAAAAAATTAAAATTCATCCTTATGATAATAACAAACAACGATTTTTATAACTAACCTTTACAACAACATAAGGAGAATACCTAAAAACGAAATAATATTAAAATACCTACAATTTTTAGAAATCAACATGCAAGTAATTGTGATGATACAGTTGAAAATATGTTTTAATTTACTATTAATTGCTTCAAAAACAAATTCAAAATTATCAAGCATTTCGTCCTGTATTTTTCTTTCAATACTTGTAATTTTTCAGGTCTTTAAAAAAAATATGTCTAAGGGACTAAGCCACCTAAGGTTTCTAATAATATTTTTTAGTGTTCGTTGACGGGATTCTTCCTCCAAAATAAATTTGCCATTATTCCTGAAGAACTTTTGCACTTTATTGTTATTTGAATAATACAGTTAATTATGTTTTATTTTTTGTCATCAGAATAACCCATTGTAATTTTTTAAATTTTTTAAATTAAAATGGGTTATTCTAATAATTATAAATCCCATATATTTTTAAAAGAAGGTTCGTTTCTGTCGATTTTGATTGTGTGCGAGAGAGATAGAGTTATAGTGTGCGATAGAGATAGAGTGACTCTGTTCTCATAGAGGGCTTCTCTCTCTCTCTCTCTCTCTCTCTCTGCTGTCTTCAGAAGTCTCCCCAGCAATTTCAGGACACCTAGGGAGGGAGCGTCGGGTAGAGCGCGTGGCCTTTTTAGCGTTCTGTCACACAGTATAAGAAAAAAAAACGGTTTTTGCTCGTAACTCGGAAATGGTTGGAAATATAAACAAATTTCCCCTTGGTTCTGAGTAGAGCACTCGGTGGGTGACGCAGAGCGGGGTGTCACAATATACGGAAGAAAAAAAAAAACAGTATTTGCTTGGACTCCAAGTATCAAAAAATCTCCCATGGTGAACGAGTGAAAAACATCAAAACCCGCATGTCACAAACCGGACCCGGACCCATCTAAGGATACACAACCTCTATAATGCAATTTTTTTAAACATAGGTGTTAATATCGTATCATATTGGAAGTCGACGCACAAATCTAAAAACATTAATTTCGAGTTTTTGAATTTTCTCAATTCCAATAATTAATTAGGTAAATTCATAGTTTTAATTCTAACTTGATTTATTTTATTTAGCATTTAAGGCAAACGTGATTTCCAAACACAAGATAAGTTCCATATCTCTTTAATTACATAATTGAAAGCATTAAATTTATTTAGCAGTTATTATTTGGCAACAAAGCCACCGCTGGAACTGCCGCTGCTATTACCAAGTAGAAGAGTTACCACGCTAAATTTCATTGATGGAAGCCAGCTAACAAAAGCCTGCTTCCATTTCGGGTTGCCAACTTCCAGCATTTAAGAAGCAGTCTGTGGCGATACGCTATATTGTCTGTGATATGACAGTTGCGGAGATTTTAGGATTGTGTGAAATTGTTGTGCCCCTAATTTTACGACTATAATGTTTTCTACACAAAAAAAGGTACTCATCAATTTAGAGCTGTCATAATTAGCCGCGCACCAAAGGCGTGCGGACGGATCATCAACATAAAATAAAGTGAACAATGATTATAAGATTTATCATTGTATCATTGTGAAACACGTAAATNATAAATCCCATGTATTTTTAAAAGAAGGTTCGTTTCTGTCGTTTTTGTCTGATTGTGTGCGTTTATGTATTTTGAGGTATTCTAAACAAAATAGTTCCTATGCAGTATGCTTCTAACATCAACGGTTTCCGAGTTATAAACAATTTAAAGTACGAAAAAATGCAAAAACGGTCATTTTCAAGAGCTCAAAAATAATAACAAAAAATCAAGTTTTTGATGTTACTAAAATTTAAAAGTAATCCTTAAACATAACTTGACAAAATACGGAAGAGTTATTTGGTGTAATTACATTGCAATGCGTATTATTTTATTTATTAACAATATATATTTTGACTTGCGCCCCGCGCCTCCGCTCGGGCACTCCACTGTGCGCCGACCCCGTCAGCGCCTCACTTTTTCATATCTCGACATATATTTTAAAATAAATAAAAAATAAACAGTTACATAAAGTAACACAAGTAACATTATTTTTTTTAGAACTACATGCTTTAGTTTTACATGTTTTCAAACATATACATCAATCGATCAGGTATTATTTAACATAAATATGGGTAATACTGCACCATTTTCATCTAGTTTGTAACCGAAATTTTCGATATTCAACGTCTGGTATTTAGAGTATATTGAATTTTTCCAAATATACGTTTGCAATTACTATGCTCTTAATACGTGTAGTTTAAAGACATCAGAAGTACATGGAATATTTCCTAAGTTTATACCTATTCCACACGTTCAAGAAAAAATATTTAACCTAGCGGCGCGGGAATTTCATTGAGATATTCGCAAATTCAGAATTAGATATTATTTAAGTAAAGTAGATATATTATTATTATTGTAATTGTTATTATTACTGTTTAGAAATTTATAATATCAATAAACAAAAAATAATTTTGATAAATAAAAATTCAGCATTGCTAAATATATCAAAAAGTGAAGTGATGAATATATACACGGGGTCGGCGCAGAGTGGAGTGCCCGAGTGGCGCGGCGCGGCGCGCGAGTCAAAATGTATATTGTTAATAGGTAAAATAATACGCATTGCAATGTAATTACACCAAATAACTCCTCCGTATTTTGTCAAGGTATGTTTAAAGATTACTTTTAAATTTTAGTAACATCAAAAACTTGATTTTTTGTTATCGTTTTTGAGTCTTGAAAATGACCGTTTTTGCATATTTTCGTAATTTAAATTGTTTATAACTCCGAAACCGTTGATTTTAGGAGCATAGTGCATAGGAACTATTTTGTTTAGAATACCCCAAAATACCTAAAAAAAGTTATTTTTGCAATTTGTTTAAAAAAAATTATGACCAGGTTACCGGCCGGTAACAATTTGATCCTCATTCAGGGACATCTCACGGAGGTGATTATGCAAAAAAATCGAATCCACTAATTTTTTCATACGAAGCTGCCGATTTCGCCTTGTCTAAAAAG